CATATTTTCAGTGCCTTTGCTGCATGAAATCACATTCTAATACCCCAGTCCATTAATTGGTTATCTGCAAACTCAAATTTCACTCATTCACAGCTAAAACCAGACAAATTTCATTTTCTTGGTCCCATATTGACATGCTAATTTTGGCCTTATGGAAGCATTCTTTAAGACACTGTCTCACTCTCCGCACAATACCACAAAGACGCAGGGAGCAAAGTTGGGCGGTCCAACAAAGCTTCAAGCTGCGCAAGTTGATTATTTTGTTCTTAACAAGGCGAATACTCTGTGTGGGTCCTTTGTTGCCTCAGACGTTTACTTTCATTTTCATAAATCTCTCTTGGATGCAAACTTCACAGGGGAAGATGGAGGTCGTTATTGCTTTTTATTTTCACAGGCATGTTGTACATGTGTGCTGCAATCCTTACAGCATGAAGACAATAAAAGCTCCAAAGCTCCAAACTGGATACAAAACATGTTAGCTGCGGTTTCACCAGCTAAAAAGCCATAAGCAACCGATCAAACATGTGTGACAAATCCAACACGACATTAATAGTCCAGAGAAGTATCTATACGTTTGTCCATTACAAAGCAGCCTACTTAGTTTTGGTCAAGCAGAAAAACTTGGAATATCTGGGAACTCATCCCAAATACTCATATATCCGGAAGTTCTTACACAGAGAGATTGCGGGAATGTGAGCAAGAAGCGAGGCGAGGCCGTGTCTCAGTTGCGCTAGCTCTCACCCCTCAGGTCTTCGTGCGATCCTTATTTAAAAGTGGGGAGTCCGACGGGACGTGCAGTGAAATTCCAACCAGTGCGATGAAAGAGAATCTAATGAATCAAATCCAATCCTATTAGTTCCGGCCCACATCGCAACACTGAGGCCTTTCTGCTTGCTGATCGGCGAAGATCTACCAGAGCTTGAGAAACAGGGTACCGGACGGATGGACTGGTACATGAAATGGGTTGTGTAATCAACCCAAAGGATCACAGACACATTGAACGGTGTCTATTTGTACGATATAATAAAAAACAAAAGACAGTGACCTTGAAAAATAGATTTTTTTTTTTAGAAAAAATCAGTTTGAAAGGCACCATTTTTTTAGGAGCTCTTCTAAAACCAGTATGTTTATGGACGGTTTCCAAAAGAAAATCAGGTAGAAGTCACGTAAATACTATCACATCATAATCAATGTTTTAGTTATCATATAAAGTAAGGACAATAGAAATAAGGAAGCTCAGAGTTGTCGGCAAAGAGGAAGTTGCATAGCTGCTGAAGGTAGCTGAGAAATGCAATTCGCTAATGTACCACTCTGTAATCCATGACTGCAAAGACACTGGACTTATTTTTTTCCCCTTTCCATTTCTTCCTGTCCTTCTCTCTGTCATTTTCCCTTATCCCTTCTTGTTGTCCGTGCTGGTAGTGACTCTCTCTCTCCAGGGAGTGGGAAAAACGGCAGAACAAAGCGTTGGAGGGAGCAGGGCTCATTGGGAGTCTGAGCTGGAGGCTTTGTAGGGCAGCCAGCTGGACATACAAAGAGAGTAAGAACGAGAGAGAGAGAGAAAGAAAGCAAAAGGGGGATGCAGAGCTGGAGAGGTGTAAGCGCGACCCAGGATATGGGTGTGGGTGCTGCCGAGGCTCGCGGGAGAGGGGGAGGGATGAGGAGGGGAACAGCGTGAACACTAGATCCTGCTTTGTGATCCACTCATGCAGAACTTTTGCCCTCACACCCCTGGCCTTCTATTCTCCAGCTCTTAGCTCTGCATGCCCACCCTTCACCCCTCGCACCCCCATCTCCATCCCTGAGAATTTTTAATCTAATCAGTGTTGGATAAATGTTACTCGTATCAATTGTTCCATTTTAGAATCTGTAAAGGATTCCTAAAAAGAATGGTGCAAGCATCAACAACTCCTGTTGGTTGTTGTCGGATGCAAAATGTCTGAGGTCGGTTATAGGTGTGGGGTCAGGTAAGGGTCAAATGTGGGTGCTAAACTGGAAGTCAAACTAAATTAAATGATTTTACAGTAAACTGAAATATTAGGAATGTGTTTTGTGGATGTGCAAATTCAACTGCAAGGGGGCTGAAAAATAAAGACATTTTGCAGTTGAAAGATAAAGACATTAATATTTTTAATATTAGTATATGTTTTATATTTTAAAATTAATTTAATAATTATTAAAAATTTTATTAACTTCAAGCGCGAATATTTGTTGGGAATTTTGGCAGCAAACAAGTTTTTGATTTGAAACACTGCATTCCGATGGACCTATTCACACCAGGGGGAAAAATTCGGCCAACAACATTTTTATTATTTTTATCTATATTTTATCTACATTTTATTTTAGGCAAATTTGTGAATAATGACAGCTAACATTTTCCTGACTTCCTGTTTAGTTTAGTTTTTTATTTTATTTTATTCACACCAAGAGTGAGTATTTCTTATTGTGTATTTGTATTTGGAATACTGGCAGCAAAAAAGTTTGTGTGTGGTTTTTTGAAACTGCATTCATCCAACAATAGAACAGGGTTTTTTGAAAGTAATGCATTTTTGTTTTATTTTCGCCCAATGAAACTCACAGACCAAGATATAAGCTTTTGTTTTGCTTTGATTCAAGGGTTATCATTCTCTATATATCCACTATCCTATCTTTCTTTATGATGGCATAAGAGTCTCATTTTTTTCTCTACCTACTTTTTTTCTCTCCGTCTCTCTTGCTCTCTCTTTAGGAAGATTAGCGCGTTCTCCATCCTCCTGAGCTGAAGATTAAGGCACAGTTTAAGGGTCAGTGTGAGCTGGAATAGCCCTTTGCAGGTCCACCCTGACACCCCATGGAGGGCTGAAGCGTGGCCATTTTTGGGTCCTCACCAGGGTCGCCCCACATGACCTGCTACCTGGCAGGGGGTACAGTGAAAAGAGAGCATTGAATTAACAAGTGACTAGTGTTTGAAATGCAAGGTCGTGGCTTGCAATATGGGTGGTCAGTGAAATCTAAAATACATTGGTTTTAAGAACTTGAAAATACATTGCTCATTTCTCGGAAACAGCTGAATGACTGTTATGTACTTACAATGGAAGTCAATGGAGAAAAACGCACAATTAAGTAAATATGTTTTATGTATGTTGTTGTAGAAGACAAAAGGTAAGTTTTTATGAATATTATTCTTTGCAATTCTATATTGTATTTTATAATATTATTATTTACAATTCTATCTATTATATTGCCATTCTTTGCAATATAATAAAAGTGAATGGGGCTGTCAATCTCTAACATGACAAAAATATCATAAAAAGTAGCATAAAACAGACTTGTGCTCTGTATTACAAGTCTTCTGATGTCATGTGATAGCTTTGTCAGAGGAACAGATTAAAGTTAAAATTCATTATTCACTAATAACTCTCCCTGGCACATTCATGAGATTAGTAGTGATGTCCAATTAGTGAATTACGCATTCTTTTGAAGCAGATATTTAAAATGAATTGACTGACCTGATTCACAAAACTGGTCAGAATGATTCATTCACAAATTGAAGAGGAGCATGAGTCATCTGAACCATTTTTGATACCTTTTTGAGAGATTGAAGATACAAATTTTGCAGAAACGGGTTCACCATGGTATTTATGTAAAAACAATGCTATTGTACATCAGAGGTAATATTTCTATCGCCCACATCTCTGCCTGTGGCTTACAGTCTTAAATGAATTGGGAGTTTTGTAGAATTAAATTCCGATCAGGTCAGGTCTGTAAACTCAGCATGTTTCTTCTGTTCTTCTGTGCTGAAGCAGCAGGACTAGTGAGTGGAACACAAATATTTCTATCGCCCACATCTCTGCCTGTGGCTTACAGTCTTAAATGAATTGGGAGTTTTGTAGAATTAAATTCCGATCAGGTCAGGGTCTGTAAACTCAGCATGTTTCTTCTGTTCTTCTGTGCTGAAGCAGCAGGACTAGTAAGTGGAACACAAGACCGGACTGCATGAGACAAATTGCTTTCTCTGTCCCATTTGATTCAACCTCTGTGATGAGTGGGACACATACTGTGCACGCAGAAAGGTACAAATTTCTCCCTTTTTGCTTTTTGCTTCGTGAACAGTGAAAAATCTGTGAACGTATGTGAACCAAAAAAGAAGAAAGGAAGAGAAAAGGCCCGTGTCTTTCCTCGTTCTCTTTGCTGCTCAGTAATCAAATTCAACTAGGTTTGTGTTGTCTGATAATTGAAATGTTTAAGTGTGAAAATCGAAATGATCTCCACTACGAGTAAAACATCTTCACTTCGACAAATGAGAACGTTCCAGTTGCATAAGTGATTCGGTCTGCTCACCTCTCCTCTCCGCGTAAAATAGAAATTGTGTTGAGAAAGTGCGAATCCCCCCCCAGACAAAAGCCGTCCCTTTCATGGCCGACAAGCAGCCAAAGCCATTGGAGAGGGTCAGTTTTGTTTGAAAACACTCCCTCTCTCATGCTTTTGAGAGAGTAGCTTGATGCAGAAATGAAGGGTGTCTACTTCTTCTTTTGTGGTACGGGCCAATAGCAGTCAGGCAATGCGTTTTCAGCCGTTTGATGTTTTAAAGAGCGAGAGATTTTGTCATTCTGAAGGATTTGATCAGTCGACTAGCAGACACTTGATTAATGGAACTGATCCCTTTCGGTATGGGAGATCCCCTTCCGTCCCCTCCCCGTTCGCTCCCGGGCCTTGTTTTCCGTCTTTGGGACGTGCAGAACGAATGACACAGATGTTGTTGGAGGAGACAGTCCCCATCCCTCTCCTCCTCTCCCGCGCTCCCAGCATGGGGCCTGAAACTTGTTTTTCAATCATTGTTTCTGCCAACTTCTTTCCCAAAAGAGAAAAGCGAGGCGAGAAAGAGGAGGGAGAGAGCGGAGGGAGCGCTAAATAAAAGAGGGAGGGAAAGTAAATACAAAGCATTTGTGGAATATAAAGAAAAAACATTCTTTATAACAATCTCCTGATAATTTAGCACCACAAGGACTGTGGGGAGAAGGGTGGATCGGTCAGAACCGCATTTGGGATGGTGTAGTGGAGGGTGCAGAGCCAGAGGAGAGGAGCTTTAAGCTGAAGATGCAGGTGTCAGCATGGCTGCTGTGGGTGGCATGGCTGTGTACCTGGACCGAGGCGGCATGCCAGTGCCAATGCCAGTGCGCATGCCCACCTGAGGAGCAGGTGGCGCAGAGATCAGAGAGGTCGGAGGGGAGAGGGCACCTTCGTCACCGCCTGGCACACCAGCGGGCGACACACAGGGACAGGGCCAATCGCAGGAAAGGTAAAACTAATGGATTTTTTGGGGAATATACAGTAGCACTGTTAAGAAAATTAATAATATAAATTATATTTGCCTTTTAGTTCACTTTTTGGTGAAGAATAAGCAGTCAAATAAAGAATCTATAAACTTGGAGAAAAAAAAAAAGGTCATTTTTATCCAGGACCGAATGGTGATTTTATTCAGATTGTTTTATTAACCTAATGGCTTCTGCAGCCAATTTCAGGCATATCAGCATGGGGTCCAAAGCATGAAATTAGAAAGACAGTGATAACTTGATAAAGTCTTTTTCACTTCATGATTTTCCACTTGTGGACACTCTTGATTTAATTTACATGTGAAGAATTTATTAAGTAAGTGTGACGGTACCATAGTGCATTCCGTTTGCATGGCTATTAGAAGTTTTACTGTTTAAAAAACTTTTGTTGCTGTAGTTTATGATGTATTCGACCTTTTAGTGATTGGCTTTTGGAAACTGTAGGGAAATGATTAACAGGGAAAAAGTTGCTGTTAAACCCATTTCCTCTTCCTTTGCTATTCTTGGTATAGTTTTTATTTATTTATTCATATGTTTTATTTGTTTGTAATAAAAAATCCTCCCAACTGGATTCAACTATATTTTTATAACATGAAATATAAAATACTTATTTCATTTTGTGTTTCAGCAGGGTTTCAGCAAGTTTTATTTCCAACATAAAATTCTTGACCACTTGTTACTTATTAAAAGCATGCTTTATGCCTTACTTTAGTCAGTTTTGGTAAAATAATAATAATAATGTTACGCTCAAACTCAGACATTGTTAAGGAATTCAAAGAGACTTATTTATGGGTAAAACGTGCTGAGAAGTTACTCTGGGCGCTAAATCACCTGGAGTTCTTTTGCGATGCTGCTTTAATTCTGTGTTGTGGTATGCCGCCCCATAGTCCCTCAACATCTTTTGTTAGTCGCTGAAAGCTGGTGATCCACAGGCCATCAAGGCACTGCTCTCTGGATCAATATACGTGTCCATCAGTGTGGCCTGCTCTTTTAGGCCACACAATGGACAGTTCTCTAAACAGCACTTTATTTATATGTGCCTTTAGAGAAAATGAACTGCCGCCGCCTCTGCTTTTCTCTCCTATCCTTTTCTTTTCGCTTTCTGTTTTCTCCTCTCTCCGTCTCAGCCCCTCAGCGACCGTATTTACAGACTTAATAGTAACTGGAATTAGCAAGTGTTGCTCCTCCGTGTTGTTTCAACTCTACAGTAGCAGCTGTGCTAAACTTTCACCTTTTGTTTGCACATTTGTTTTTTCTGATCCTTTGGTTGTATTATTTAAGAAACGTATGAATTTACAGCACAAGTTTGTGATTTAATGGCAAAAGTATGTCACTTGAACAGTACCAGTTCATATCAATATTCTCTTTAAAGTTTATCAACTTTTCTGATTTATGTGGGAATATTTCATTCTGATTTTTTAATGACTCGTATGGTTAGCATCAGTTTGTATTCACATATTAAGCAATTTGTGCAGCTTAGAAAGGAAGTTTTTCTTGGCTGTGAGGTCTAATGCTTTCCTGTTTCTGTATGCTGTCATCACAAACATTTGATAGTGGTCTTCAGATAACACATTAAATTACTAACTCAACTAAAAGTGAAATTATACATGACCCCCACCATCGTCCTGAAGTGACAATAAAAGTTGTAAAAAACAAAAGAGTGGATATAGTAGGCTATAAAAGAAAAAATTCTCGTTTCTCTCCCCTACAGTAGTAGCCTATGTGTAAGTGTAACAAACACAATTTGGCCCAAAGTATGTCCCATTGTTTAAACGATGTGGTATTGAATTCAAACCAAAATATAAACAGAGGGCAAAAGCACAACTTCAAAGTCACACATGTGTAGTTTACCTCACCAATTGTTGGAGTAATTAGTTAGCGCTGGCTCGTCAGTCGTCGGAGGTGTAAATCTACTCCAGTCATCATGCCATCAGTCATGAGCTCCTGCTGCTGCTCCAGTCAGTCACCCGGGGCGGGTCTCGATCCGGATGGCGCTCTGTTCAACACTCATACTGACTGAAACGACAGAGACATGACTGTAAAACCTGTAGATCTCAACTGAAATGCCATTCCGTCATATAACCTGTAAAACTATTCATTTTCGACGCGGATTTGTAACGCAGATAGTCTGACAGAACAACGATGCGTTTGTTTATCTTCGTAGATTGAATTCGACGTGACACGTAAAATGACGAGACACTTTATCAAGCTCTTTTGGGTTTTTGGGATTATTTATAATACTGAAGGTAAGCACAAAGTAAAGCCTAATTAACTGTTTTGTTCCAGTGTGTAACTGTCGCCAAGTAAGAGGTGAAGAAATCCTGTAATTCAGACAGACTTATTTATTTATTTTTTAATTTAACAAAAAAGTTATTTCAATCCATCAAATTATTTTTCTAAAGGTTATTTCTAGAGATAAACTATATTTTTGTTTGTTTGCTTTTTTTGCGACAGATACGGATACATGTAATTTTCTTATAAATGTACAATAATTAATATCTAGAAACGATTAGTTTTATTTAGGCTACTGGTTTTGAAACAATAACTAAATGAGGAATTTGATTTAATTATTTCGATATTATTATTGAGATTATGATGATAATAATAAAAGTGCATATTTAATTTGTTTTGTGATCTAAATGATTCCAAATGTATTTTCCATGACGATATACTGTATAATGTTCTCTTAAGAATAAATGGATGTAAAATGTTAATTACGCAAACAGTACGTTACTTTACCTTTAAACCCCGTCATTTTATATGAAAGTTAACATTTAAGTCTATAATTCTTAATTTTGTTACATATGTAAAAAGTAAACGATACATGTAAACATCAAATTTTAAAGTTTTATTTACATGCTCGCTTTTCAGCTGTTTCCAGAAGCTCTCGTAGACTGACATAGGCCTGTTTATAATCTAATGCAGAATCCATCTTTATGCACAAAACTATTATTATTATTTTCGTTAAAACAACAAGCCTCTCAAAACCCCATGTAGAATGTCACACTATACTGTGGAAAGTGTAGCATTGCTTTTTTTGCAAACTTCCAACATTTCCCCCAAATTCCTCTACAGTGAAAATGACATAGCAGGACTGTGAGACTCTTGATTTCCTCTCTTTCAGGAAACTGCCCCAACAGAGACAATAGAAACTTTTAATAGTAGAACACATTTTTGCCAAGAATGTAGCGCTCAGATTCTCTATTGTGCACTTCACCCTGAATTGCCTCCTCTTTTCATGCATGAGGAAAAGGCGTAGTTTATTTCAGTTTATGTTTAACAACATTATTTATGTTTATTAGTAATTAAAGGGCCCCCAAATCCGACAGACAACAAGGAGTTGTTGTAAGACCAAACCAAATGCTTTTTTAGTTTCAAGGACACCCTCTCATGCTCATGTGATTGGCATGTTTTGGCGTGAGAGTACAAAGAGACATTGTAGGACATTGTAAGTTGGCCAATAATAGCAGAGGGCCATTCCTGCACTTGGTGCACAGGTGACGGATGTCCTGTTGGTCCATGACTTTGTTTGTGAGTGCTGGGCCTTTGTTCCTCTCCGTACAGGAAATGTGTTTCCCTTACTCATCGCAGGGTCATCTAGCCATCCTAAACAAAATAATTCAATGACCTCTCCGGATTGGAATTTGAAAATGTATTTGTTTAGTGGAAGTCACTGTTGTTTGATTCTTCCTTTTCGGTTCTCCAGGTTCCAGGCCTGTTTCAGATAGCGGCGTCCCACGTATCGTCCACCATCCCTCTGATGTGGTGGTCCGGGTGGGCAGTCCGGCCACACTGTCCTGCAGGGCAGAGGGCAACCCTGAGCCCACCATCCAGTGGCTCAGAAATGGCCAACCTCTTGACACGGACAAGATGGATGCACAGTCACAGCCTATCGTTTTGCCAGAAGGAAGTTTGTTCTTCTTCAGTGTCGTTCCTGGTCGAAAGAGTCAGTCCCATGAAGCGGTGTACGCCTGTGTGGCTCGCAACAGTGCTGGGGTCGCGACGAGCAGAAATGCCTCCCTTCATATAGCAGGTTTGAATCATGACAAAGTGTGATGCTTTCTAATATTAAAGGGATAGTTCACCTGAAAATGAACATTCTGTCAATATTTACCCTAATGCTGTTCAGAACCTTTCTTCTGTGGATCATAAAAGAACATATTTTGAACAACATTGTCCATACAATGAAAGTCAATAGGGTCCAAAACAATCTTGACGGTCAGTTCCCACGTGAACTCACCTTTTTGAGGCTGACAGACCTTGATAACAATGAGTGACCCATCAAGACCTACTGAAGGAACAAGAGGGCGAGGAAGCTTATTAAGATGGTTCATGAGATTACTAGAGATCAGATGTCAAAGTTTGCCTTCCTGCCCGAAACAAACAGAGCACTAATTGAGCTCTGACAACATGCTGTGTTTGTAGCCCAAACAGATTCCTTAGCTGGCTCATTTACTCTGCATTCCACTGGATTGGAGCAGGACCAGATTGAGATATTAAATCAATTGTTGCACACAATGAATTTGCGTTTTGTTTACATCTATTCACTGCTAGATAATTTGAGACACAAACAAGCTGCGTCAAGAGAATTGACAATAGGCATTGATTACTAAAGCAAAAGGGCGTTCATGAGAAAAAATGAGACATTTGTTCTCTGAAATGTAGCAACTGATTGTTAGCATTTATATAACATTTTTGATCAGTGACTGACCATTAGCATTTAAACTACCTTCAAAATAGGGGTTGGTATGGTTTTATTCAATGGCTTTGAAGACTTATGCTCATGAAGACAGCATTTATTTGATTAAAAAAATGCAGTACAAACAGTACAACTGTGAAATAGTAATACAATTCAAAATAACTGTTTTCTTTTTTAATATATTTTAAAATGTATTTTATTCCTGTGATGGCAAAGCTGAATTTTCAGCAGTCATTACTCCAGTCTTCAGTGTCAAATCCTTCTAATATGCTGATTTGGTGCTCAAGAATGTTTCTTATTATCATTAATGTTGAACACAGTTGTGCTGCTTCATTTTGTGTATATAAATGTCTTTACTGTCACTTTTGATCTATTTACTGCACCCTTGCTGAATAAAAGGTTTAAGTTCTTTAAAAAATCTTACTGACCACAAACCTTTGAACAGTAGTAACTATATTATATATACACTCATTCTGACCACATGTGTGATTTTCAGCTCTGCGAGAAGGGTTCCGTGTGCAGCCCAGTGACGTGGAGGTGGCGGTTGGCGAGGTGGCTGTGATGAACTGCAGCCCACCTGTTGGACATCCTGAGCCCAACGTAACCTGGAGGAAAGATGGGATCCTAATCAACAGCAGCAATGAACAGTACACTGTGAGTGCAAAACATACTCTAATCTGACATTGTTTTCTTATTTAGTGGGTTTGATTTGTCAAACCCACTAAATAAAAAAATATGTTTTTTTTCTTGAGAACTCTTCCCTGTATATGTCTGTAGAGGGCAGTGTGACACAGAAAGTGTATCACAGAGATAGACCTGTGCCTTAGCACCCTGAACAGTGTTTTGTGTGTCTGGATGACAGTATATTTCTGCGTATCTGCATGTATAGGAACTGAATGGTAAACTGATCATTGCTCCGGCCCAGAAGAATGACTCTGGAGTTTACAGCTGTATAGCCTCAAACACAGTTGGAGTGAGAGAGAGCCGAGCGGCTCGGCTGTCTGTATTAGGTGAGACTCTATCTTTGCTCTAAAAGAGTATGAATAACTTATTAAAGCATGGAGACTCATACATCTGACCTTCTTCCTCAGCTAAGCCAGTGTTACTGCATAAACCAGAGGATGTTTCAGTGCAGCTTGGAGCATCTGCACAGTTTTTCTGTGAAGCCGATGGAGACCCCATGCCTTCTGTAGAGTGGAGCCGAGAAAAAGGACCTCTACCCAATGGCAGGTCAGATCATGATTTAATAATATAGAATCATTCAGTATATAGTAATATAGTCCCCCTGCAGTACATGAAAGAACCTCCAGGGGTCCGCAGACCCCCAGTTAAAACTCCAGATGCATAATGATTGTGAAATTCCTTACAATTCACATTCCTAATCTTATATTACAATCGCATTTGCCAGATATTTAATCAACCCCGACCACAGTCTGCAAATCCACTATGTGACGGCTCAGGACATGGGCAAGTACACCTGCACTGCGGAAAATAAGCTTGGGATGTCTGTGGCCAGCGCACAGCTTCTTGTAGAGGGTAAGAATGCATGTAATCAGTCAAGTAACAGCACTTAAACCTCTTCCCAGCATGCCATTTGTTGAGATTAGTGATGTCTGGCTAATATATGTTACAGACGTAGGAAGCACCAGACTGAGAGACCTACACAAAGAGCTGTCTGCCTTACGTGTGAACCTGGAGAACGTCACAGTTATGAGTACCGCCTCCAACATATCTCAAGTCATGTGGAAGGTAATGCAGTTCATGCACCGCTCTTTAAATAATTTTATTTTCATTTTAAGACAGCATCATGTCATTAGTGTTTTCTCTTCTGTTTGTAGTTGCAGTCGTCTGCAGTGTCACAGCCTCATTATCTTGAAGGCTTTGAGGTGCTGTATCGCTCTCTCCTGCCGGCCAGCTCAGACTGGACAGCTCAAAGCGTTCCTCAGCCTGGCCTTCACACACATGTGGGACCTCTGAAGAGAGGCTACAAGTATGAGTTCAAAGTCCGACCCTATGGCAGCAGCCTGTATGGCAGGGAAAGCAACACCAGACACTTACGAGTGCCAGAGATAGGTGAGAATCTAGAACATTCTTTACAAAAAAAGGACTGTGGTGGTATCTAGGGCTGCAACAACTAATCGATAAAATCGATTATTATCGATAATGAAAATCAATCGATTCTCATTATCGATTGGTTGGGTCTGCCCACAGTGCACGTCCAACTTCAGCCAGTCGCATCAAATTACAGCACTGAATAACGCATTTCTATGGACAAAATGCATCTAAAAATAGTAGAGGAAACAGCTCTTGCAGGAAAAGTACGTGATCCAAGCTGGCCAAAACATGAAAAATCTTTATTTTAAGCTTCAAGCTGATGCATCAGCGTAATGGCTTGCCCTGTCAGGCGCTTTGATAGATACGTGTGCGCGTCCACAGCGCAAAAAACTTTCAGTTAACGGTCATATCCTTATCTGTAAATGTCACAAATTCACGCGAGCCTTTCCATTTTTGCATAAAGGCCCGTACTGACGGTCTGCGTTAAGTTGAAATCCTTATGTCGAGTTCACACTGCACGATTTTAGCCCGATTTTTCACTCGCCGACAGGTTTTGCGAAATCGCCGACAAATGCCCGAAATCGGAGGCAAATCGGTGCTCGTTCACGCGAGTGACAATCACGCAGTGTGAAAAGACACAGTGTGTAACCTCCTGTCGTCGTTCCATCGTGCAGTGTGAACACAGCAACAACTGAATGTTACCCCAGATAGTTGTTCAGTGTGAACAACACAACAGTGATGCGACGTCTTTGAAAATCGTGCAGTGTGAACTCGGCATTACTGAAAGAGCGCCGGCACTGCGGACGCGCGTTAAACAGACGGAACACAGTAGAGAGGGAGTAATAAATAATCGTTAGTTGCAGCCCTAGTGGTATCATGTTCAAAGATGGTAATACTATGCTGCTTTATTAAAGGGGTCATATGATGCGATTTCAAGTTTTCCTTTCAGCTGTTCTGGGTCACGGTGGCTGCCGTTAATGGGGCAGGAGTGGGGGTCCAAAGCAACCCATACAAACTGCTCATAGGTAAGCGAACAAAACAGGTATAAAACAGTCATTTTAAAGCGTAATCTACTCAATATGTTACCTGTTGCTCTCTTTTTCACAGAGTTGAGGCAGGAGGCGACACCGTTTCAGACAGGCATACTCAGTATGTCTCATTTCCTTGCTGTGATTAAAGAGCCGGTATTCATCGGTAGCGTTGGCACCCTCCTGTGGTGTGTTTTGATGATTACTGCCGTGTTTTTGTACAGGAGACATGTCAGACCCACCAACCTGGGAGGCAAACACTCAGGTAATCTATAATAAAGTCTCGATTTACTTCCTTTTTTCTATACACACATAGTCATACAATTATAATTGTCTCTTTCATTTATAGGCTTGTATAATGTGTTTTTTGAACATTAAAGCATGTCAACATATTCTGTTACACCAAATACACAAAATAATGATCTTTAAAATAGCATCATATGACCCCTTTAATGATTACCATATACCATGGTATTTGCATGGTACTCCAAAGTACTTTAGTCAAGGGTTATTGTTATTATTTATTAAAAAGATAAAGAACATTTTTGTTACTTGAAACAAAATAAACGTTAAATAAAATAAAATATATTTAAACTAGCAACTAACCTTTAGTTTAACTTGAAGTGCTAAAATAACTAAATCTAATAAATAAAAATGAACAAAAACCATATAGGCATATTTTTAAAAAATGATAAAAAAAAAATTTGATTATTTTGGGGGGGTTGATGCTGAAAACTCAGCTTTGCCATCACATAAATAACTTACATTTAAAAAAATATATTAAAATAGAAATTGTTATTTTAAATTGTAACAATATTTCACAATATTAATCTTTTTATTGTATTTTTTTATCAAATAAATGCAGCCCTGGTGAGCATAAGAGACTTCTTACAGAAACTTTGTATCTCATAATTATGGCTTAATATCTAATTTGTCAATATAGTTTATCTCTAAAATAACTGTTTATCTCATAATCATAATTTACCAAAGCATGATTTTTTTCTTATGTAACAGTAATACTATACTTATGAAATAGGCTTCCATGAGTAACTGAGTCAACATCCTTATAATTCCCTTTCTAGAATGGCGGCACCAGACTCTCCATGGATCTCTGGGGGCTGGAGGCCAGATTCCAGCAGTGAGCCCAAGCAGGGCCTTTGGACCCCGAGTCAAGAGAACTCCGGCTTCCGGAGGACAAGTAAGTCACAATTTTAGTTAAAATACATAGTAATAACCTCCCCTCGAGTTTCAGCCCTCATCTACTTCTCTTTTTTTCCTCTCGTCATCTCTCCGGATGACAGATACGTCCTTATAAGAACCTTCAATATACGCCTGTCACCCCTGAAGTCACGACTCTGCAGAGTCCTCATCAACTCTAATTACCATTGACATCTTGGCACATTATGTAAATCAGTCTGTTTTTACCTCCCTACTGACAGCTCTGCCCATTACGGCTAAAAAGGACCCCAACCCCCTGCGGTCAGCCGTCCCGATTGTACCAGACAATTGCGGCGTCTATGGCACCTTTTATGTGGATCTAACCGGCAATGGACTGAAGACGTTTAATAGTCCAGGTCACTGTCCCAGAATGCCTCACGGCAAATCTCAGCTGCATAACTCCGAGACCGTTCGGATCACCGAACCCATCGTCAAAACTGCCATCGTGAGGGAAGTGCAGGCGTTGCCATGGAAACGTGCCCTCCCTTCCCAGCCCAACATGGGAGTTCTGAAGGAATCGTGGGAGAAAAATTACAAGCGTGGTGAGACATTCATTCATTCAGCGAATCATTCACATTCATTTCGCCCAGCAGTAACACGTGTTGTAATCTACTTCCAGAGCTGCATGCGGTAAAAAGTGCCCCGTTAATGCCTGTGAGTCAACGAGCATTGGCAGTGTGCAGTGCACCGAGTACCCATCAGCAAAGATTCAGTCAGCACCCTGCAGGTTTGAACATCAGCGTGTCTCGTGTTTAAAATGCTATTCTCATTACGCAGTCTATTTATTAGAACTCTTCTAAGCTGGTCTACATTCCCTCAGGTGGTGTATCAGAGCCTGTGAAGCCACTGAGTTCTCCGCGTATCCTGCACTACTCTGCCTCTCTGCAGCTGGTGGACATGTTACCCAGCCCTCCGCCTCTTCCTATGGAGGACAACCACAGCCTCAGCTCAGAGGACGAGTGAGAGTCACCCCTACACACAAAGCAAAATTTAAATGTGCAGAGATTTTATTGCTCATATATAGCTCAGTAGAACATGTTGGTAAAACTATTATAATATTAATTATAATAAGGTTCAATTGGTTAACTTTAGGTAATGCATTAGATATCTTGAAGTAACAAAGAACAATATTTTTTCCAGCATTTATTAATCTAAATTAAAGGAATAGTTCACCCAAAATAAAATTCTGTTATCTTTTACCTACGCCCATGTCGTACAAACCTCAATGACTTGCTTTTTTTTTGCCTATGAAGGTCAGTGGGCTCCATTATTCCAACAGTCTTTCTTCGACAGTACACAAAAGAAGCTATTTTCATACAGGTTTGGAATGACATGAGAATGAGTAGATGACAGAATTTTCATTTTTGGGTGAACTACCATTTAAATGTTACTTTCTAAATACATAAATACATTTTAACATTTCAAATTGTTTAAATCACTGTTCAGTTCAGGTAAAGTAATTGAACTTTACTGTAAGGTGCTGCTGTTATATGGCTTAAAGATATCAACTTTGTGCCATGTTTCCCCTAAAATAGGAGTAATAAAAAGAAGCACAAATGAGACAATCAATGACATGCTAAAAGAGTTTGAGCTATAAAATGAATGTAGGAAACAAAATAATTTGGTCTACTCTGGAAAGACTTTGTTATAAGACTTTTGCAGGTGTCTAGGGAAATCAGAGCACAGTATTTGACATCTGAATCTATAAAGGAGATATGAGATCACTGGGGTCTTTCTCTCAGCAGAAACTTCTGAGAAGCTATAAATTCATCTATTTTCTATCCATTTGATCTCTTAGCTATCTATGAGAAACAATTAAAGATATGAACGTGATCTCATTTGTGATTTTTCTTTCCTGTGGGCAACAGTATTCAGCAGAATGCTTTGAAGATTTATCAGAGAGTTCAATTCCATCTCAGTGCACAGGAACATACTAGAAGTCTTTCTTGTCACTGTGGCTTCTTAAACGGCGATAAACTTCAGTGTTTCACCATTCTGTCATAGCAGGATGCGAGTGGTGTAAAATGACTACTGACACAAGAGCTCAAGATTTGTGTCCATTTCTCACAGACCTGTGAGGGGTTGTGGCCTTGCCTGTCTGTAATGACGGTGTCTGTGACAATACCATGTCATTATACCGTGAGAAAAGAGAAGTCTACTACTGTCTCTCTGCTCTCAAACTAAAAGTCTGGAAACCAATTTAACTTGTAGCTCAACTCTAATGGACAGGGAGTCTGAAGGGGAAATGGCCCACACTATTTATTAGAAGGTCTGTAAGTGGGAGGAAGCATTTTGAATGCTGTAGGACACAAACAGGAAGCTTCTTCCGGCAGTGCAGACTGAGGCTGGAGGCATCATGGTACAAGAGAAAGAAAAAAGTGGATAGCTGGAAGGGACACAAACACCTTCCTAAAAGAACATTTTTATTATAGAAATATTCGGTGTAGTGTGCTAGCTAGTATGAATTTATTTACTGGTCAAAGGAACAATTATTAATATGCTCATATTTCTGTATATCTGATCCCTCAGGTCTACCAGATCCACCAAGTTGACAGTTGACATCGGATCTCAGCAGTCTGTTTGTGCTGCCTCTGGGCTCCAGGGTCCCGCTACGGTTACTGCAGGCTGTCCAACCCACCACAGCCCAGCCCAGCCAAGCCCGTCCTACAGCCACCTGTCCACGGCCTCCTTCTGTCTCTCCACTGACGACTACCAGGACACCACGCTCAGTACTGAGGGCCACACTCAATACATGGAGATCAGCCCCAAGCCACAGGGGCAAAGGTAAAAGAACACCTGAGTCCTGAGAGTACATATATGTGAAGGGAGTATCAAGACAAGGGCTAATTGTGATGTCTCCCAACAGTGCGTCCCATCAAAGTTCTCCTTCAATGCCACGTCCGTTCTCTCCCACACCCACGTTTGGTTACATCTGTGGGCCTGCCGACCAGGAGATGGATGACGAGCAGGAGTCTCAGGCAGTCGGCCTCAGAAGAGCCACACTGAGGAGCACGCCCTCATCTTGTTGCAGCGAATGGGAGGGTTCGTTGTGGAACGGCTGGGGTTCGGTGTCCGAAAGCAGTGTGACGAGCGCTCGAACCAGTATCATCAGCTCTTCTGACTGCTCGTTCATAAACGATGCGAACTTTGCCCGCGTCCTGGCTATGACAGCCGAATCCATGAGTGGTACTTTATCAGGCAAGTTAAAACTCTCTTTAGCTTCTGTAGAATTAGGATGTTTTAATTTATAGTCTTCACATGATTCAAGTTCTAAGTTGGTTAACAGCAAGAACAGATGTAGTTGCCAGAAATGTCCACTAGGTGGAACAACCTGCTCACGCAGTCAATGTTCTATCAGCAGCTCTACACAGATTCACCAACCCTGAAAGCTCTGCTAATTTCCACAGAAATGAAATGAAATAAAAATGCCTGCTAAATGAATACATGTAAATATGTTGACTCATTTTAATCAAGCTTTCAGGTACCAATAATTTGTAGTACTCTTACAGTACATCTCAAGATATATTTCACCTTGTTTAAATGTGTTCTTCAAATTTCTACAAACTTGTAAGTTATTTATAAATCTGACCACACGAGTTGCCAAAAACTGTGATCACATTTTACTTTTCTTTGATGAACACCAGCTTTTCTCAGTTCATCATTGTCAGTCACTAGTTTTTCAGCTCTGCAGGGCTGTAAAATTATTCTGCATCATTTGCATAGTCAACAAAAAAGCATTATGTAAATACTTGCTGCAATTAAGTTCTTTTGAAATGATTCATAATTATGTAAGACATAAACAGTCTATACAGTGCAACCAAAGTATTTTGGCACTTTAGTCTCACTAAAAAAATGTTTTAATGTCATTGCATTAAATAACAAGGCATCAACGCAAGTGGCTTTGACAGTGTTCTATAGAAAGACAGCACAAGCAAAACGTTTCACAAAAAAGTCGTTTGTTAGGTTTTAAATGATAAATGAAGACCATGCTTTTGGACACTCGGGTTGTCAAATTTTAATGGAACATGTTCATAGTTAACTTGATAAACTACACCTGTCTTCAGCTTGAGACCAGTACATAATAATAGCAAAAATTGCTCATATAACAATGAGGTTAGTTCTGAGAAAAGCTCTAGCATTATCTGATTTGTTATTTTGTTATCTAATCACATTCAGACGGTTTGAAGTGTTATTCCAGTACTTTTTGGGATCGTTGCATAACTAGAGGGAGAACTGTATTTGGGATGAGAATTTTCATTGTCAGATCAGATTCATGAGGCACTGCAGCATTACGCTTCCCAATGAGACAGTGAAAAATAGCAGCGCTACTTTGGTACAATGAGAAATAATGGGATTTGAGGGCCTTGTCTGCAAATTGTCTGAGCTTCCCCACCATCCTCTCTGAAGTTTCAGCAAATCAATCACGGCTTTCAAAAGAGAAACCTACAGGGACTTTCCTCTCTCCATTTGCTGATTGTTTCCCCCTTTCTATCTTTCAATCTCCGTGAATGCATCAGGTTAAATGACTAGTACACTGTAACTGATGAGTCCAGCACCGTTCTGCGTTATCATTCAGTGTTATAATGTTGAAATTGACTTGTACGTCTTTATACGTGTTAACAGATTGCTTTTCTTTGTGTATTTTGTACCTATGTGCATGCACATGCATTCATCTCCCTTGATTTCCTTCGTGATGTGTGTGATCCTGCATTTTCTGCAGATTTCTCCCCGCCTGCATCCCCCCTGAGTGTTCTGTTCCCCCCTCGAGAGTGTTTTGGAGAGGTGGAGCCGCTGCCCGTGTGGGACTGGAGCACCGCGTGGGTGGAGGAGTTGGAGGCCCAGTTTAAAGCCTCCAGAGAGGCCAGAAGAACCCCCACATCTAGCCGACACTCGGGCATTGAGCACTAGAGAGGACATCTGGAGAACCCCTCGCACCGATGATCGACTTGCACATGCCTAGAGGTAGTTTATGGACTACATTTCCCTGCGTTCCTCAGGGCAACCCCCCTTCCTTGTAGTTTCGACGGACTTGGGTATGTAGCAAGGTCAATTAAGTAGAAGAACACACTGCTGCAAGGTACAATAGGTGCAGTTTATATGCCACTTTCCATATGGACAGTTGAGTTGTACCACACCATAATAAAGACTATTGTACAGGACGCTCATGTTGGAATTCAAAGAAATGTAAATAAACCAATTTTATTTAATAATCCTCCACATACGATTTTGTAAAATCATATATGCTTTTATATGACAGAGTTATCTAAAATACACAGGAAATATTATTCAAGACGTTTTTGTATTTTAGGAGTCCTTTCTTATTATTTTATAATTCAAATACATTTCTTTTTTTTTTTACATTGAAAAATGTTAGTTCATTTTGCATTTGAATTGGAATATAATTGAACTAAATGTTAGCAATTTTAGATCAATTTTTTATATATGTATTTTTATTGTTGATTATTGTTTTGTTTTTTTGTATGAACGTAGTTTGTTGAGTAGACATACTGTTTTAGCTGTCAGGTTTTTTTAACGTACGTTATAAATATTCCTCAGAATTGCTGCACTACTAAAAAGCCGCAGTTTAATTACTTCTATTTTTACTAACTGCCTTTTTAAAGTTAATAAAAAGATTATAAATGAACATTTTAATCGCAAGTATCTGCCTCTTGGATCACTATGACATATGTTTGTGTTTGTGTTTGTTGCATTTGTGTCCAACTGTCTTGTAGTTAAGGGAGCACAAGAGGTCTGTCAAGAGAACATGTACGGCCGTCCAGAGCGCTAATCCTCACCGCAAGCCAGCAGAACCAAATCAGACAACCCTAGACACCCGCTGGACGGACACACACACACACACACTCACAGAAAACACAAGTGACCATGGCATGACTGCAGAGGGATTATCGCTTGTCCCTTTCTCTCTCTCTCCCTACGGCCATATGCTTGGCACAAAAACACACCTCCCCCATTACACACTTTTATGCATGTGCACACAAACACACTGTTCGGATCTACAGCCTTGAATTTGTCTATGGCCAAAAAGGCATCTTTTTATAGCCTGCTGGTAATCCTTTGACTCAGTTTGCCATGCAAGAGCACACTAAAACGGTACCAAGTTTTGCTCCTCTCTTGCTCAGTTTCTTTCATTCATTTGTTACAGAAGAGCACCCCACATTTGTCTGCAAGGATTATTTTGCATGAAATCATTCTCTCTTATAAAATGATAAGGTTTTTAGTAGTACTTCTGATGAAAACGCTTGCTGATAAGCGATTGAGATAAAATATTCAACTAAATTTTTGCATTTCTTATCCAAAAGGTAAAAATAAAGTCACAGCTGTGAGATATGAAGTTAAAATTATGAGAAATAATGCTGCAAATACAAGATTTAGTCACAATTGTGAGAAATAACGTAGCAATTCTGTTATAAAGTTGCTAATATTATAACTAGTAACAAACATGACAAAGTCCAAATTGTGAGACATAAAGTTGCAATTGTGCAATATAAAATTGCAATTATGATAAATAAAGTCGCAATTGTGAGAAATAGTTGCTATTATGATGTAAAGCTGCAAACAGAGGAAATGAAGTCACAATTGTTAGATATAAAGTGCCAAATATGAGAAATAAAGTTGCAGTTGTGGGATATACATTTTCAAATACAATAAATATTAACAAACTTGAGAAACTGTGCAACTGTGAGACATAAAACTGCAAATATGAGAAAGTCAGAATTGTGAGAAAAGAAGTTACAATTATGAGATAAAAAGTTGAAATTGAGAAAGAGTTGGTATTAGGATCTAGTTGCAAATGCTAAAAAAAAATTGGACACAACTGTGAAAAAGTCAACTGAGAAATAAAGTTTCAATTGTGAGATATAAAGTCACAATTGTTAGATATTTAAAAACTGCAGTTATGAGAAAAGGGCAAAACTTTAACTAGAAACTGTAAGATGCAAAAATATCCTTGCGTATTATTACTTCTATTGTCATTTTGTAAGGTAGAAAAAGGCTTCTATAAAAGTACAAGTCTGATCGTTTCAAAAAGTAATCACACACATTTGCTCAGCAATCTGCATAATTAGAGGTATCATTCAGTACCACAAAATTGTACTGGATTAGTTCTGCACCAAAGTTTAATACTTACTGTTAAGGGTTTGTTCAAATGTCTAACCTTAAGTATAAGTGATAGCAATAGTAATGACTTTAGCAAGCAACACTAAAATATGCCAGCGTCATTGTTTCCAAATTTCTGTCAGACCATTTCTAAATTCTGTCAGCCCCAAATGTTTCCAGGAATAGTTAGCACATGGGACAAATTTTCAAGGTAATGCATTGCGGCACTAAATTATCGGCTAAATTGACATTAATGTCCAACACCTGAGTCATCATCTCTCTCGACTGCATCCGTCAACATACTAAATGAAAATTAAAGCCCCTGTGTGTCGCTCCATCCAGTCGAGTGGGCTTACCCAGGGTCCCATGCCCAGTCGGAGGTTCAGAGGCGGGTGTGTGTGGAGATGAGAAACGGCAGAGTGTTTTGCACAGACCCCATGGGATCCAGCCTTCTGTTGGCCTTCACTGACCCAGATCTGCCCTGAGAAAGATTAAACTCAAGGGTCCTTCTGTTCCCTAAACCCTACGCTCCACAGGCAGGGTACACAAATCCAAACCAGTTCGACTGGAGCTGCTGAGAGAAAAGAAAAAGCATTTATGTGCAATTGGTCGAGAATTGCAGAGATTACACCAAACAGTTGACTGCGTATTCAAGAACCTCTCACGGGCCGATGGTTCGGTTTATCTGAGGCGCAAACATTGCTCACTTGCCACATAAATGAGTCCTAGTACCTAGCTAACAGCCCGGCAGCTGTGTGGCTCTAAACGCTAATATCATTCTTTTCTCATCTCTAAAGAGCATTCAGCCATTTTAACCCGGTGTTCATCGTAAAACATCTTGACATTGATTTCAGCCAAATGCCAAAGCCGCTGTTTTACTAGCTTGTTTGAACATTGTCCTCTTGGTTTTAATGTGGCAATTGCATGCGCTTTGCATATATTAAATGAACAATGAGGTTGAAGGCATCCATCTCGGGGTTCTGTAATTAACATGGAAATGGGAGAATGGTATTTTGACTGTGCTTTGCTCCCCTCTGGCCCTCCTGGGCGTGTCTTCACTGACACAAAGCTAATGAATGAGCTAGTGATTTATGGGTAGTGGGTCTCCACTTAAGGAAGAGTGCGTGTCTTGACTACTTGGTCTGAATTCTAAGGAGACCTTCAAAGGTGAAAGCTCAGATGTACCCTCTACCTCTCTCAAGAAATTGCACCCTCCTTGTGATCCACCTCTAGGATTGATTCATATTGAAAATGATAATCATGAGAAGAACTTTGACTGGCTGCTCAAAACTTAAATCCCATTGTTTATGAGGCTTGGAAAATGTAATAGCACAAATGAGTACCTACATGGTTATGTTGAACACAGTGGAACATGTTATTGGATCAACAGCCTTGTTAAAATGGGGTGTTTAGTTCCAACTTGCTCCAACACCTCCCTGGAATGTTCTAGTAATCATACAGACCTTGCTTATCTGGTTGAGGTTTGTTTAATTAAGGCTGGAGAAAAACTCTGCAGGAAGATGGACACCTCAGGGTTATTTTATTTTAATTTTTTATTGTTATTTTTTGTACATGAATACTGTTCCAGAATTACAGGTGGGAACTTAGTCCGTTCTGTGTGTGTGTGTGTGTGTGTTTTAATTAATTAATGAAATTAATTAATTAATTAATAAAACACTTTTTTGAAGTGTTACAAGCTCTTGGTGCATAAAGAAGATTTGTAAAGTTGCAAAGACTAAAGTCTCAAATCCAAAGAGATATTCTTTATAAAAGAGTCAACCATGCCTACCTAAAACGGCTCGTTCTAACACGCCCCCACGTCTACGTCACAATGTGGGAAGATTTGCATAACGCCGCCCAAATGTTCACGCAAAGAAAGAAGGCGTAACTTTTATTCTTGCTGTAGTATTGTTGCTGCCGCCATGTCGTGAAGACGCTGTGTGTTTCGTTGTGAAAGCGAAACTACTTTGTTTGGCCTTCCAAAAGAGGACGATATCCGCTTCGTCATGCCTAGAGCTGATCCGTGCTGGTCGCTGAGGAAATACATCAACTTCGCGCTGAGGATCGCCGGATCGGCTTTCACCGTGGACGAGGCGGAGTCCAGCCCGGGCTCGTCACATGTGGTTGCCGCAAGCTCGCCAGCCGCTCCTTCGTTGAATCCGCCGGCCACGACATTCTCAAGCTCGCTCACTCTAGTCCGCCGGCCTCCGCTCACTATAATGTGTTTTTTGAACCTTAAACCGCACAAAATAATGTTCTTTTTAGCAACGTCATATGACCCCTTTAACGGTTTTTGCACCGTTCTGTGACACTTGCGTTTTTTTATTAAAGTGCCCCTATTATGTATTTTTGAAAATTACCAGTGTGTAACAGCTCTAAGAGAATGAAAACATCCTGCAGAGTTTTAAATCTGAAAGTGCACCGTGTATGAAATGTTTGTCTTTTCATCCTGAAATGCGAGGCAAATGTTGATCACAATAATTAGGAACCACAGTTTCCACAAATCCCTTCATTTGATTGGGATGTTCTCTTTTATTCTGGAGGGCAAGGGCAATGACTGTACCATCGAGCGTATTTTGCAGTATTAAACACGTATTTATACCGATTTCATCAGGCTCCGAAAATTCTTCAAAAAGAACACAAAGAATGGCCTTCTCAGCTGCCATAGTTGCAACTCTTGCATCATCAGAACAGGGTGTTCAACGCACCACCATTTCCGTTTAAAAAACGTTTTGCACCGTTTTTGTCCGGGCTGAACGCAGCCCAGGCATTACAGGCATGATCCAATCGGACCAATCACCGCAGATTAGCGTCACGCAAAGGAGGGGTTTGGAAAAATGAATCGTTGAGCGAATCGTTTTGAGTCGTTGAGCAAGCAAGGTAAAAAGAAATGCACATTATAAGACAATGAAAGCGTTTTTTGACCTTGCGTGTATGTCAACCTGTTGTTGGGGACTCCCAAAACCAAAATATGAACCTTTCATTACCCATAATAGGGGCACTTTAAGTAACGCCGCTATAAAATCTACAGCCCAAAACGGAACACGAATGTACTGTAGTTCAAATACAGAACGAATGACTCTTGTGAGCCGGTTCTTTGTAGTGAATCAAATACATACAGCGCAACCAGTGTAGTAGCCTATTCCCGAGTTAATTCGGTATTAGTGAATTAAAAACAATAAGCGTAGTTG